ATTGGAATAACTAATGGAATGATACGATTTAAGAACAAAGAAAACGAGGGTGGGTGTGGGGTGTGGGTGTGGGTGGGTGTGGGTGTGGGTGTGGGTGGGTGTGGGTGTGGGTGTGGGTGTGACTATTCTTTCGCCAACATCCACACCCACCCACACTCACACCACACCCACACCCAAGATAGTTTCCATATGTTTTATATACCATTTTGTAGCTCGTGAAATTCTCTATCGAATGGTATATAATAGTTGGGGTTTTATTTGACTATGATAGGAAAATTTTTTTACGAAATCGGAGATAGGTCGATCTTCGCATATGGAAGCATAGGGAAAAATAACTATTTTTGCCATAACTCAGCAATGACCCGGCCAATCATTCTCATCTTCGAACTCGACTGAGATATTGTTGAGACTAAACTGTGTAGAAAATTTCATCGCAATCGGACTCTCCTTTCGAAAGTTATCATGTAAACGGACGGAGGACCGGCCGGACGGACACACTGACCGATTCTAGAGTGTACTCACTTTTTGAGTACACAATCACTTTTTGAGTACACAATAAGGAATGCTAGCTGTTGCTCTTTTTACAATTCAAGAAAGAAATGTTGTTCATAGCAATATTTCGAGTTCGCTGGTGGTAATTTCATGCGTTGTTGATCTTCTTCGGGTATTATATCTTGAGGTTTGAAAATAAACGGCTTTGGAAGAATTTCCCAGAAATGTTCTTTGTATTGTATAGGTTTTTCAACATTTAATCCATCGAGTGAAAAACGATGGATTTCACCTTTCACAAAACCATGTTTTTGATAGAATGTACAGGCTTTGCTCATGTTGGTTGATGTAGTCAAATGTACTTTTCGATAATCATGCTGTCGAGCAAAGTTCAATAAAGTTACTAATAGACGAGACCCAATATCGCGCCTTTGAGCATCGGGAACCACAGTCATTCGTCGCAATTCACAGATTTGATCTCTTTCTTCCAATGGCAAAGTTTGATAGTAAACCGGATCGCCAAGATGTAGAGGCTGGACTGCTACTTGACCTACGATACGATTATCATCCGTTCACACAGCAACCCACCAGTGAGCATTCGAAATTTGAAGATAATTCTTCTCAATATCTGCCATATCCGTTTGAAAGGCATGAATATAGTATGCTATGTCATTATCATACTCCTTATTGCTATCTAATATCATAGCTTGGCATGCAGATAAATCCGATGACTGATAGCTAAGAATAATAAATGATGGAGTAACAGTTGTATTCATCTAAAACATAACTATGTTATCACTAAAATCAACATTTAGTTAGAAGATGTTCTCTTTCATTCTCAACATTATTTTTCTCGTCGCTCACATCTATACTAGCTCTGATTGTATCCAATACTCTAGAATGTAGAAAACTACATGCGACCTGAATGATAAAAATCATTATGACAATGTTCAGCATTAGGAAACAAAATTTCTCGAATGATTTTTAAAAAAAAATGATAATTGATGAAAATTCAATACTCGATGGTAAGGAAAAGCAATATGGTCCATAAATTTTCCGTAAAGAAGAATAAAAACAAAAAAAAGTTGTGAAAAATTTTACAGAATGAGGTCGAAGGTTTCTAACAGATCATGTCAGTTCAGAAGAGTTGGATAAAAATAATCGAAGTCAGATTGAGAAAATCAGCATAGTTCAACGTCCGAAACGATGTGAACAAGATCGAACGTTGCACTGAATAACATAGGAGAATGAAGCAAACAAAAGTATTCAGAATGGTACCGACAATAACAATCAGTAACACTAGTACATGATAAAAAGTATTAAATCATTCTCACAAATATGTTCAATATTTTGAAAAACCCAAACCATTCAATTGGTCTTTGGAAACGAATTACCGTTCACTTGTGCTAATCAATTGATTGGGACCATGAAAAGAGATAAATACCTGCGAATGGATTATTGAAAAAAAACGATAGAGTACGTTTGAACCAAAAATTCTTGTCACACATTGATCAATCGGTTAGTTTTGTTGCACGTAAACATCAGAAAAAGGCAAATATAAATTAAGATCAAGTAAGACAATGAAATAACCGATATAGGAACAAACATTAATGCATAGTCGTATAGAGATTTGTGTTATTATTGATACACTCAACGACTGAAGCTATTAGATTAGATGAAGCGGTCGCAACTATTAGAAACAATCATACTGTTTCATCACCATCTGCGTTTTTTTTTGTTATATCGACCGAACAGAACACAAGGATGCAGCAGCAATAAATGATAAGGAGAATTGAAGCTTTTTTTTTATCGCTGCTGGCTACAATTTTTCGTGCGTTAGACATGGCATACAAATATGAATGAATAGAACGAAAACATGAAAGAAATTAGATAATGGGATTATTTGGGACCTGCCACTAATTGTCCAGTTTATGCTACAGTTACTTGAGTTTTTTCCCTTAACACAAAATACTACACATGGCAGAACTACTTCGTTAATGAAATATAAATCTTAAGACAAATAATCAAATTATTAATTAACAAGAAAATATGCAATATAAATAACATTGGCTTTTTTATTTTCATTTTGTATTTATTTTGATATAACTTATCAATGCATGATCATGTTTCAGTTTATATTGTATGCTCATGTATTTGATTACGACGTAACTGCATTGCAGTTGATAAAAAAGAGATCATTTCAAAATCATATTTTTGATTGATAGAGAGAAAATATCGTTCTTAAGAAACTTTGAAATAAATACAAACATAATAAGCGATATAAAAGTCTTTGAAAAAATGTGAAACTATATTGCTGATTTCTGAATTAATCAAATTTGTTTTTGTTAGAAAGAGCAATGTTTGAACTATAAATTTTGTACCAGACATATTTTTCCAGAATGAATCTGAGAAAGATGAAAAGCCAAAAACCAAACAACACCTCAAAAAAAGTTCTTAAAACGCTCTTGCAACTTGAAAAGTCTGCATATCCCAATTAT